CTCCTTCTCTACTAAGGCTGGAAACTCCGTGATGGCCATAGGCACCACCACTCTCTTCAGATCATATTTCAGACCCTCACCAAACTTCCTGCACTTCCAGGTCTCAGCTATACCCTGTGAATAAAAATGAGCCAGGTGCTCGAATTTCATTGCATATTATGAAACAGTCATCCCTCCTTGGTGCAACCGCATGAACTCAACTTCCTTAGCATGCCTCACACTCTCAGGGAAATACTTCTCCAGGAACATCCTTTTGAAGAATTCCTAGTCAACAACCACCCCTCTGGCGGTCAGCATATGATGGGTACCTCTCCACCAATGCTCTGCCTCCCCAACCAGCATATATACAGCATATGCCAATCTCTGCTCCGGTGAACAGCCCAGCACTGTAAAAATCTTCTCAAGCTCACAAATCTAGTGGTCAGCCACCTCTAGATCTGCCTCTCCCTTAAACTGCGGAGGATGACACTTCCGGAACTCGGCTAGGTCCCGGCTCTCCTGCGACCCTGAGGTCCTTGCTGTGCCAGCCGCAGCTCTATCCACCTCTGCCCTAGCAAAATAGGCATTCTGTTGCTGCATAGCCATGGCCATCATTTCCATGGCACGGGCTATCTGTTCGTTGATTCTAGAAATTGTCTACAAAAGTAACAACAGCTTTAGTACACAATAACTAGACCAAACAGCAACCAACAGCACAACAAACAACATATTACCCAACACAACAAACAACTTTCATCAATACAACACAACACAGAGTTCAGCACAACAAAAGCCTAAAGGAACCACCCCCAAAGAGTGTCCACTAGACTCGAACCAGGCTCTGATACCACTAAAGTGTAACGACACAGCTGGTCACTACACACGGCACAGCACACTGGAAACACCAGACAGATAGAACAGGTATATAAATATAGGATCTAGAATATATCGATATACAAGGTCCCAATCTGACCAGAGTTATAGTGTACAAAAAGAATACATCATCAACTACTACATCACATAGCTAAACAACAAAAAGAAAACAAAACAACTCAAGAGGGTCAGCTCCAAATGCCAGCTACAGCCCAACTACCAGCCACCGACCTATCCCTGCTCTGCTCCCATACATAGTATGATCATTGCAGTCCAACATTCCTAAGATTATGTCAATATCAACTAAAGGCAAACAAATCAAGTTTACCTTATACTTCCTCTCATTCACCACAATCGGACAACTAGCACACAGTTCAGAAGCAACTACCGATGCAGAAGCGGGCGTCGACACTAGCAGTCTCAACCCCAAATCACACACAGGCACACCCAACACAGCAGCACAAGCATAAGATATGAATGAATGAGATGCACCAGAATCAAAAAGGATCATCACATCCTTACCAGCAGCTCTACCCTTCCCTTTCACAAGATCTGAGGAAGTAGAAGCTTCAGCCCCAGTCAAGGCGAATACCCTACCAGCTGTAGTGGGTCTGTCACCCCTCTGAGCATCACCCCTCTGGGCACCACCTCCCTGTGCATCACTCCTCCCTGGTACACCTCTAGTAGGACAGTTGGCCGACTCATGGCCCATCTGGTGGCATCTGAAACAACGGCTCTTAATGTGCGGGCAATCCCTGACAAAGTGGGGACCAGCACACCTATAACATCTCAGAGTGGCACCTCCACCCTGTCTCCCTCCACCTGTAGCACCAGAAGGTTGCCTGATGACAGGACCCCCTTGTTGTGGTTGGGGCCTATCATACGGCTTCCTTTGGTTCCCTCCTTTCTTGGACCCAGATGGCCCCTCAGCAGTCTTCACCCCGCGGTTACCACCTTCCAACCGCTCAACTACCTTCTCCTTCTCTACTAAGGCTGGAAACTCCGTGATGGCCATAGGCACCACCACTCTCTTCAGATCATATTTCAGACCCTCACCAAACTTCCTGCACTTCCAGGTCTCAGCTATACCCTGTGAATAAAAATGAGCCAGGTGCTCGAATTTCATTGCATATTATGAAACAGTCATCCCTCCTTGGTGCAACCGCATGAACTCAACTTCCTTAGCATGCCTCACACTCTCAGGGAAATACTTCTCCAGGAACATCCTTTTGAAGAATTCCTAGTCAACAACCACCCCTCTGGCGGTCAGCATATGATGGGTACCTCTCCACCAATGCTCTGCCTCCCCAACCAGCATATATACAGCATATGCCAATCTCTGCTCCGGTGAACAGCCCAGCACTGTAAAAATCTTCTCAAGCTCACAAATCTAGTGGTCAGCCACCTCTAGATCTGCCTCTCCCTTAAACTGCGGAGGATGACACTTCCGGAACTCGGCTAGGTCCCGGCTCTCCTGCGACCCTGAGGTCCTTGCTGTGCCAGCCGCAGCTCTATCCACCTCTGCCCTAGCAAAATAGGCATTCTGTTGCTGCATAGCCATGGCCATCATTTCCATGGCACGGGCTATCTGTTCGTTGATTCTAGAAATTGTCTACAAAAGTAACAACAGCTTTAGTACACAATAACTAGACCAAACAGCAACCAACAGCACAACAAACAACATATTACCCAACACAACAAACAACTTTCATCAATACAACACAACACAGAGTTCAGCACAACAAAAGCCTAAAGGAACCACCCCCAAAGAGTGTCCACTAGACTCGAACCAGGCTCTGATACCACTAAAGTGTAACGACACAGCTGGTCACTACACACGGCACAGCACACTGGAAACACCAGACAGATAGAACAGGTATATAAATATAGGATCTAGAATATATCGATATACAAGGTCCCAATCTGACCAGAGTTATAGTGTACAAAAAGAATACATCATCAACTACTACATCACATAGCTAAACAACAAAAAGAAAACAAAACAACTCAAGAGGGTCAGCTCCAAATGCCAGCTACAGCCCAACTACCAGCCACCGACCTATCCCTGCTCTGCTCCCATACATAGTATGATCATTGCAGTCCAAATGTCATGGAGACAACAAAGGGTAAGCTAGTGTAAAGAATTCAACATACATATATAAATATGAATAGAAGCATATACAGCTATCAGCACACCCGCACATCTTATACTACACAACAACAATTCAGCAATATCAGACCTACCACAATAATTTTTTTTTCTATGGCTGGACCCGTCAGGACGAGGCTACTCCGTAAAACCAGCCTGACTTGGCCTTGATGAGGGATCCAATTTCAGCAGGTCCTGAAAATAAATTCATTCTAATTAATTAAAATATGCGTATTTTATAAATTCATATTGCTCCTTTTGTATTAATGATATAAGATTTTGTTTATATTCAAAGAAGCATTACTTCGGATTGAACCAGCAAATTTATAAAATAATAAATAAATAAATAAAAGTGCATTGAGTCGAAGGAAATGGTGCACTCTTGAAGTTAATTTGAGAGAATAGATACATAAGTGAACAAAACAAAATAAGAAAATAGCAAACAACTCCTAAAGTTAATGAATTTTAGGTAATACTCTTATTATATTGGCCACGCACACAAGTAGCTGCTATAGAATAATTAATTAATAATTAATTATATTCAACTATAGATTTTCGAGAGCGAATACTTGAAATATCGGTAATATAAGATGACTTTTAACACGGTTTTTTTTAATATATATTTTGTTATAAGTTAAAATATATTGTAAATTAACATATATTTTGTTATATGTTAAAATTTATCGTAAATTATAACATTATGAGTGAATTTTATTAAATAAAAGTAAGAAGTAAAAAGATCTTATAATTTAAAATAAACTTTAGTGAATAATGAAGAATTTGTCAGAAGATCATGTATTAATAATATTTGTCATCGTGAACAACAAAAATAAAATAACAATGTTGGTAGATCCAAAGAGACGATTGACAATACTATATATGAAATTTTATTCATAAACGTCAATCATCTTAATTTCTCCATGTTGGTGCCATTATCATTCATTTGACGAAGTATATAGCCGGCATTTTAATTTATTTATTTTTTATCTCAAATGCCGGCATTCGTAGGAGATTTTAGAGGAACCGGATATCTTAATTTACATCATTAAATATGTGACAAATGAGTTATATTGTTTGAGATATCACATATGGTTAAGGCGACAAATAATGATAGCTCTCAAAATTTATATAACAGTATTGTTTAGAAATTGGATTATGATTAATTTCCGGGTAATTAATTTATGAAGAAAATGTATCTAAGATTATTAGAAGGGTAAACTCTTTTTTTAAAATATTTAATGTAATTATATTTTAAAATATTGATTAAATAAGGAGAACTAACTAATTTAAATATTAGTTATTTTATAATTATGAAAGAAAAAAAGGTTTATGAGTTAGTAAAATTGAAAGAGGTTAATTAGATGATGGATAGTAGTATGATAGATGAATGATGAAGATGGAAGAAAGAAGAATAAAAAGGAAGAAGATGGTTGTGTTGGCAATTGGCACGTGAGACCCACCTTCCATTTCAATGTGCTCTCATCCCTTCAACCAACATCTTTTACAACTTATACATCAACCCTTACAAGTATTTCTGCATTTTTTTTTTAAAATAGTCCATCAATTTTTCCAATAAATATTAATTATAAAAAATATTAATGAATATTTCATACTAATAATATAATTATCTAAAAAAATTAATATTTCTTTAATTTTTATTTATTTAAAATTTAAATTATTAGTTTTAATTTTTAAGAGCCATTTTAATATAAAAAAATAACATTTATTTTAACAACTTGTAAAAAATTAAACATGTCACATGTTAACAAAATATTGAAGACACCGGTGAGTGTTACTTAATAATTAATATAGGCATTCATGAAATATATCAATGTAATTAGGCAACAAAAATAAATAAATAAATAACCTGAAACAACATCTTTTCCCTTTTATATCATAAAAAATAAGTAATGTATTGATTAGGATTTCATTAAACATGCTTATCCAAATTTATTAAAGAAAGAGGAAGAGGACGTAATTAATAAATAAAAAAAGAAGAAAAAAGAAATGTAAAGGGATGTATTACTATTAATGATTAAGCGAAGGAGAGTGTGTGAGAGAGGCATCATCCATCATCCATCATCTGCAACGATGACCAACTATGGCACAATCCCGACGTCTTCCTCACCTTCAACAAACCTCGAGTTCATCTCACGCGCCAAAAACAGAATCAAGGAAGGTTTGGGAACTCGCCGTCCATGGAAGATTATGTTCAATTTCCGCTCCTTTGCTCTTCCCGCCGGCTTCTCCGACGCCGTCTCGCGCCTGCGGACCAACGTCGCCTTCTTCCAGATGAACTACGCAATCGTCCTTCTCATTCTGCTCTTTCTCAGTCTTCTCTGGCATCCGATTTCGCTCATCGTCTTCGTCGTCTTGATGGCGGCCTGGCTCTTCCTCTACTTCCTCCGCGACGAGCCGCTCACGCTCTTCGGACGCCTCGTCAGCGACCGCCTCGTGCTCCTCGTCATGGCGGTGCTCACCATCGTGCTGCTGCTGCTCACCGGCGCCACGCTCAACATCCTCGTGGCGCTCCTCGTCGGAGTCCTGCTGGTGGTGGCGCACGGCGCCTTGCGGAGGACCGATGATTTGTTCCTCGACGAAGAAGAGGCTACTCGCTTGACTCCTCCTCCTCCTTCTTCCGGTGGTGCTGTTCCTTGATCTGGATTTTCTTTTTCGTGAATTTAGTAAATAATTTTAGGTTTGAATTTGATTTGATCTGGTTCGTTCTGTTTGGGTTTATGGTTTTGGCCCTTCTCGGAGGGGAACAAAGTTTATCGCTGAAATTCATTGCTTGCTCTTTGTTAAGCTCAATTTTCTTATGTGTTAACGAAATTTGGTTTTGGTTTGAAAAGGTAGTTAGTTACTTCAAAGTTCAAACATATCAAATTGACTAGTCGCCAAGAGGATCGAGTTCTTTTTTTTTTTTTTTTTTTTTTTTTTTTTTTT